CCCCCCCCGCTGCCCCCCCTCCCGGCAGCACAGCGCCCCCTAGCGACCCTTGGGGGCAGCACGGACAGTGAGAGGGGACAGCGCCCCCTGCTGACCCCCCGCTCCCTGCAGCACAGCGCCCCCTAGCGCCCCTTGGGGGCAGCCCGACAGTGCGAGGGGACAGCCCCCCCTGACCCCCCCTCCCCGCAGCACAGCGCCCCCTAGCGCCCCTTGGGGGCAGCACGGACAGTGAGAGGGGAGCGCCCCCTGCTGATCTCCTTCTTTGAGAAGGTAACAGATTTTGTAGACAAAGGAAACGCAGTGGATCTAATTTACCTCCATTTCAATAAGGCATTTGATACGGTTCCACATGGGGAATTGTTAGCTAAATTGGAAAAGATGGGGATCAATATGAACATTGAAAGGTGGATAAGGAACTGGTTAAAGGGGAGACTACAGCTGGTCGTACTAAAAGGTGAACTGTCAGGCTGGAGGGAGGTTACTAGTGGAGTTCCTCAGGGATCGGTTTTGGGACCAATCTTGTTTAATCTTTTTATTACTGACCTTGGCACAAAAAGTGGGAATGTGCTAATAAAGTTTGCGGACGACACAAAGCTGGGAGGTATTGCCAATACAGAGAAGGACCGGGATATCCTACAGGAAGATCTGGATGACCTCGTAAACTGGAGTAATAGTAATAGGATGAAATTTAATAGTGAAAAGTGAAAAGTTAATAACAAGAATTTTGGTTATAAATTGGGGACACATCAGTTGGAAGTAACAGAGAAGGAGAAGGACCTCGGAGTATTGGTTGATCACAGGATGACTATGACCAATGTGATCTGGACATGAAAAAAGCTAATGCGGTCTTGGGATCCATCAGGCGAGGTATTTCCAGTAGAGATAAGGAGGTGTTAGCACCGTTATACAAGGCCCTGGTGAGACCTCATCTGGAATACTGGGTGCAGTTCTGGTCTCCCATGTTTAAGAAGGATGAATTCAGACTGGAACAGGTACAGAGAAGGGCTCCTAGGATGATCCGAGGAATAGAAAACCTGTTTTATGAAAGGAGACTCAAAGAGCTTGGCTTGTTTAGCCTAACCAAAAGAAGGCTGAGGGGGGATATGATTGCTCTTTATAAATATATCAGAGGGATAAATACCAGGGCGGGAGAGGAATTATTTCAGCTCAGTACCAATGTGGACACAAGAACAAATGGATATAAACTGGCTACCAGGAAGTTTAGACTTGAAATTAGACGAAGGTTTCTAACCATTAGAGGAGTGAAGTTCTGGAACAGCCTTCCGAGGGGAGCAGTGGGGGAAAAGACATATCTGGCTTCAAGACTAAACTTGATAAGTTTATGGAGGGGATGGTATGATAGGATAGACTAATTCTGGCAATTAATTGATCTTTGACTATTAGCGGTAAATATGCCCAATGCCCGGTGATGGGATGTTAGATGGGGTGGGATCTGAGTTACTACAGAGAATTCTTTCCTGGGTGCTGGCTGGTGGGTCTTGCCCACATGCTCAGGGTTTAGCTGATCGCCATATTTGGGGTCGGGAAGGAATTTTCCTCCAGGGCAGCTTGGCAGAGGCCCTGGGGGGGTTTCGCCTTCCTCTGCAGCGTGGGGCATGGGTCACTTGCTGGAGGATTCTCTGCACCTTGAGGTCTTTAAACCACGATTTGAGGACTTCAGTAACTCAGACATAGGTTAGGGGTTTGTTACAGGAGTGGGTGGGTGAGATTCTGTGGCCTGCGTTGTGCAGGAGGTCAGACTAGAAGATCATAATGGTCCCTTCTGACCTTAACGTCTATGAGTCTATGACCCCCGGCTCCCTGCAGCACAGCACCCCCTAGTGCCCCTTGGGGGCAGCACGGACAGTGAGAGGGAAGGGCCCCCTGCTGACCCCCACCCCGCTCCCTGCAGCACAGCGCCCCCTAGCGCCCCTTGGGGGCAGCCCGACAGTGCGAGGGGACAGCCCCCCCTGACCCCCCCTCCCCGCAGCACAGCGCCCCCTAGCGCCCCTTGGGGGCAGCACGGACAGTGAGAGGGGAGCGCCCCCTGCTGAGCCCCCCCTCCCTGCAGCACAACTCCCCCTAGCGCCCCTTGGGGGCAGCACGGACAGTAAGAGGGGACAGCGCCCCCCTGCTGAGCCCCGCATTGGCGGAGTTTATTTCCCAGCCAGGGGGCGGGTCCGAGGCCCTCAATAGCACTTAGCGGCTCATGAATATTAATACGGGAGGCGGAGTCTCAGGGAGCCCGGCCGGCCGAAGTGAATCATCGTCTCTCAATGGGGGGGGGCAGCCAGGAGCTGGGGGGGCCCAGGGCTGGACTCATCGCTATAGACGTTACAAACACTGCTACCCACCCCCCACCGTCCTGCTGAGTCCACCCCCCAATCATGGGGGGCTTCAAATAACCCCTCCCCCGCTTATTTTATGTGTGGGGAAACTGAGGCAGGGTCCAGACAAATGCCTCAGCCTGGTGTCCCGTGGCTGAGAAAAGAACCCAGGAGTCCCGGCTCTGGAGCCGTTAACTACCGTCCCACCAGCCCCCCTTCGCTAGCTGGGACCTGGGCGCTCCGGGGGCTGGGGTGGGGTCTCAGGCGGGGACGCGCTCCGCAGGCAGGGCTGGCCCCAGTCTGTTGTGCGTCTCGCTTTGGGGGGCTCCCCCCGGGCTCCCCCCCGGCCCCTCACCTCAGCGCCCGGCTCAGCTTGTCGTAGTTCATGTGGGGCTTGCACTTGCGGATGCCCCACAGCCGCGCCACCTCGTCGGGGTCCTTGATCACGAACTCGCCGTAGTCGCCCTGCCAGGCGATGACGCTCTGGTATTCCTCCTTCTGCAGCAGCTCCAGGATGAAGTGCCACAGCTGGATCTGCCGCGAGCCGGGGCTCGACTCGGGCTTGTAGGCCCAGTCGGGGAAGGCGAACCCTGCGGGGAAGCGGACCCGTCAGCGCCCGGAGCGCGCCCTTGGGTAGCCCTGCTTTGGAGACGTGGCGCAGGGCGCACGGGGCAGAGGAGACGGGTCCCTTCCAGCTGGGCTGTGTATGTGTGTGGGGGGGGGGG